TAAAACTATATTACTTTAAACACTTGCAAGTCATGATTTCACATGAGTTTTCTTTTTTATCATATTATGAAAGAAAAAAAAAATTAAGATTTTACTTTTAAGTATCAACTTGCTTTATAGTTCTGTCTGATGCTTATATTTTGAATAAAAGTGCTTGAAACATATCGTTATATTTCTTGGGCAATATTTTACATCTTTTCATATTATTTTCTATTTTTGGTCCTTTTTTTCTAATGCAGAGTTTCTTTTTTTGTTTATTATTTTCTTACATAGTATTTATGATAACTCTCAATAGCATGTGATTTCCCTTTTCAAAATTGTGTTCTAAGAAACTGCAGTGATAAATCACAATTCTTCATAAGTTTGAACTTACTTGGACCATGGTAATTTTCTTTTGTGGTAAATGTACAAACTAATGGTTGGGTGTGGTACACAACAAATTCAGTTAGCTACTTAAGTAAACATGTATTTTATATATATACAATGAAAACATATTTAAGGGTTTATATAAATAAGTAGAAAATGGTGTACATATATTGATTATTCTGAAACCTGCATTTACTCCTTTCAAAAGGAACAAGCAAAAATTGCTAAGCTGGGTCTTGAAATGAAACTTCTTACATCTGAAATGGATGCAGAAACAGAAAAATATTCATCAACGGACAACAATGACATAGTTTTTAGAGCACGTAACATGTCTCAAATGGCCTTTTCAATGTACCAGTTTACTCGTGGGGAAGGAGATTTGAAAACAACTCAAGTAAGTGAAGCTATAAAATTTATAAGCCACTTAAATATGTGAATCTAGTATTTTTGCCAGATTTGAAAACAACCTATTATTAAGGAGATTTAAAGGCATCTCAGTTATAATGTGAGCCTACAGTCAATGAGCAACATTTAAAAGCAAGTGCTAAAGTGCAAGACTGTAGAATATTAATGAGATTTAAAAACATTTTGAGTAAGTGCACCCAGAATCAAAATTTAGTATAATGAGGGTTATTCTCACCTTAAAAGAAATATGTTCCAGGCCATTTGCACTCTTGAAACTACTTTCCTTATCATCTATCATACTCTGTCTGATGGCCTCACTACACGACTTCCATTGTAACAAGCTTCAGCAAAGTTCAATCTTAGACCACATATTCTGACAGACCTTTCACTGTATGTGAATATGATAATTTACAAGGCCCAATAATCGATTGGAATGACATCAGGGGATTTGCCAGATATCTGATCCAATGTAATTACCATGATTTAAGTTTCTTCAGCCATCTTTCTCATGAAAACAGTCGTTGATTTTATTTTATACGTGACTGGAATCTTGTGAATGTTAATTAACTTAAAATTCTTGTTTATTACTTTGTTAGCAGTACCAAAATGTATGTCCAGTTTCATTACAATGGCTTTTGGAGGCACAAGGTTATTTTTCTAATCATATTTGTGGATAAGTGTATCACTTTCTTCTGGCTTGTGGTATGGTTTCAGAGTTCATTGCTATACTAATCATTCTGTTATGAAAATTTTTCTACATCCATGAAGATTAATAGTAAACCTTCATTCTTCAGAATGCGTAGTTCTTTGACTTGATGTCGTTAAAAAATTTGAAAGGGCTGTGACATCCAGCCTTAATTTTCTCATGGATAATTGAACTGTTGGGAAGTTACCGTAATCCAAACTTATAGGTGCAAACACATCACCCCAAGCACAAAGCATGGTTCACACCTTAGTGCTCAAATCTGTGAGCTGTTGGTCACCAGGAGTAACAAAATTTGACTTGGCGATCATATCTTAATTTCTAGTTGCCATCGGTGACTTTTAGGATGGGAATGCCAGATACAAAAATATAAAATGGGATTTATTTGTGTAAAATCAGTAAAAACATAATTGTATAGTGATGAAAGGATAATGCTATATCCTGTGTCAGTATTTGTTATACTCTAATTGTATCCTGTGTCAGTACTTGTTATACTCTCTAATTGTATCCTGTGTCAGTATTTGTTATACTCTCTAATTGTATCCTGTGTCAGTATTTGTTATACTCTCTAATTGTATCCTATGTCAGTATTTGTTATACTCTCTAATTGTATCCTGTGTCAGTACTTGTTATACTCTCTAATTGTATCCTGTGTCAGTAGTTATTATACTCTCTAATTGTATCCTGTGTCAGTACTTGTTATACTCTCTAATTGTATCCTGTGTCAGTACTTGTTATACTCTCTAATTGTATCCTGTGTCAGTATTTGTTATACTCTCTAATTGTATCCTGTGTCAGTAGTTATTATACTCTAATTGTATCCTGTGTCAGTACTTGTTATACTCTCTAATTGTATCCTGTGTCAGTAGTTATTATACTCTAATTGTATCCTGTGTCAGTACTTGTTATACTCTCTAATTGTATCCTGTGTCAGTATTTGTTATACTCTCTAATTGTATCCTGTGTCAGTATTTGTTATACTCTCTAATTGTATCCTGTGTCAGTATTTGTTATACTATCTAATTGATCCTGTGTCAGTAGTTATTATACTCTCTAATTGATCCTGTGTCAGTAGTTATTATACTCTCTAATTGTATCCTGTGTCAGTACTTGTTATACTCTCTAATTGTATCCTGTGTCAGTATTTGTTATACTCTAATTGTATCCTGTGTCAGTACTTGTTATACTCTATAATTGTATCCTGTGTCAGTACTTGTTATACTCTATAATTGTATCCTGTGTCAGTACTTGTTATACTCTCTAATTGTATCCTGTGTCAGTATTTGTTATACTCTCTAATTGTATCCTATGTCAGTATTTGTTATACTCCCAAATTGTATCCTGTTTCAGTTTTTGTTATACTTTATAATTGTATCCTGTGTCAGTACTTGTTATACTCTCTAATTGTATCCTGTGTCAGTGTATATTATACTCTCTAATTGTATCCTGTGTCAGTACTTGTTATACTCTCTAATTGTATCCTATGGCAGTGTATAGGATACAATTAGAGAGTATAACAAATACTGACATAGGATACAATTTGAGAGTATAACAAATACTAACACAGGATACAATTAGAGAGTATAATATACACTGACACAGGATACAATTAGAGAGTATAATAACTACTGACACAGGATCAATTAGAGAGTATAACAAATACTGACACAGGATACAATTAGAGAGTATAATATGTCAGTATTTGTTATACTCTAATTGTATCCTGTGTCAGTACTTGTTATACTCTCTAATTGTATCCTATGTCAGTATTTGTTATACTCTCTAATTGTATCCTGTTTCAGTTTTTGTTATACTTTATAATTGTATCCTGTGTCAGTATTTGTTATACTCTTTAATTGTTTTATCCTTTTTGGAACTCAATAAATTTGTAATTATGCATTGTACATTACATGTCACTTTCTTGCTGTCAAATAACCACAAAAACATTATGAGCTTTCACAACGAAAGCGTGTAAAGTCATGTGACTAAATTAATGGAAGACTTGGGACAAAATGATAACATCAAAATAAATTCATGACTTTGAAATAAAAAGAAATCATCAAATGACACAGACAGAGAAGATGAACAACCAAATCAAAAGCCAAATGCCAAAGACATTGTACTAGTAAAGCTGAAACAGTTACAAAAATCCAGAATCATTGATTTCAAATGTACTTTTGGCTCAAGATAAATGAACAATCTGATGGCCCTGTTCTCCTGTGTACTTTCTGCTTATCCTTTTAGAGAAAAGATAGCAGGTTCAACTAATGTGCTTAGCAGAAGTTTAATTGGTAGTTGAATTATCAGTAATATGTTATAGAAATCACTGAGGTATTGCACCTTGTTTTTAAGGTTTTGAGGTGTGTTTAAGTTTTTTTTTATTATTTTAAACTTCCATCATAGTTGAATGTTATGTGTTTTTAACATTACATCTTAGTTAGTACTTCATATTCGTAAATTAAGTTTACTCATTTTAATATTAGTATAATGCATTATTGAAAATTGTAACAACAGAATTAAGAATACTTCAGCTCACCCTTAATTTTTAATTGGCTATCAAATTACAAAAGCTAGAAGCAAGATGTTCCTATCTTTGAGTCCTGCTTCTGCACCAACATGTCACTGTATTAGCATATTAATCACTCTTAGAGAATACAATTACATAATCCTTTATATTTTAATCATTGCAATAGAGTTTATTGAGGTTGCTTTAATCAGCTAAAAATAATTAACCAACTTGTCTTGTAAAGTTAGGATGAATGATTATCTAGAATATTTTGTATTATCTTGAGATAAGTTTTTAAATTCAATACATGCTTTTATCATTGTTGTAAATGTTTATAAGACGAAACATATCAGGTGAAACTTCCATTATTATATAATGCCGTAACTACCTATTATTATAAAATAACAACTCTTTAATACTGTTCATTTTGCATCTTGTTTTTGTTTTTGTACTTTGAGAGGTAGTTTACTTATAGGTGAAAATTAGTGATTTGGTTAGAAATGGAGACACAAATACTTAAAACATAGTATTCAAGTAAAATTGGAGTCAACAATTAAGTACTAAGTCCACAAATAATTATTTTGAATGAAAAAATAACACTAAATATTACAGTACTATAAAACTTGGATATTTTCAACTGTCCTAAAAAAAATTTAATTTGGAGAAATTGTTTACATTATATGATGAAGTTTTGTGTTTACCTACAGTGTTGTTTTTTCTTTGTATTAGAATAACACTCATTTTAAATTTTTCATGCCACAATGAAGTATGGTCAAGCCAATATAATTTCTGTAGAATAGCCACTGTGGTATGTAACATAAGCCTGTAGAAAGTATTGTATATAACACAAGTTTGCTGCTAACTACATCCAATTCACAATGACGTTAATTAACTGTAGAACATCTGCACAAACTATTTTTAAAATATTTCTGGATGTACTTGGGAATGTATCTGTTTGGGAATGTTCTATTTGGGAAGATAAAACCAGGCAATTTTGAACTACTATATGAGGATTGAACTGTGCATCTCTTCTTGTGAAGCTTTTAGATCCTTATTAAAGATTTGTGAAATGTGATAAATCATTTTTTAGGATCTCTTCACTCAAGCAGAATTTTTTGCAGAGGAGGCAAACAAACTTTACAAGTTGATTCGTCACTTTTCATACCAGGTAAAACTTTTGGTGATCTAATATTATGTTTGGAGTACTTGTAGTGAAACATTGGCTGAAGTTTTAGATAGTTGTTAAATCATTCTTGGGACATTGTCAAACATAAAGTTTAGGAATAAAATGATATGTCATGTAAACATCATTCTGAGCAAAACAATTTGTACTTATTACATTACAGTGAAACAACATACCATTAATGGAAAAAGTTGTGATACAATTTCCTAGAAGCTCAAAATAGGGTTAAGGGATGTATTTTGTTAATTAACCGATTTTGATTAAACAATGAGTAATGTTTCCTCATAATAGCATCATTGAAACCAGTTTTTATGAATATTTTTGAAACAAAATGATTTATTCTTTACTTACTGCAAATACTACAATTATATGCCAATCTTCTTGGAAAAAAATTGAAATGTAATTCAATGATCAGATTTCGTTCAGAGGAGGAGCTATATTCAGTGCTCATAGTTAAAATGTATTACTATAAAGTTATTAATATAATGTTGTAAACTATAATTTTAATGTTTGCTAGAGGGAATTTGTCATTTTGATGACATCACAAATATAGTAATTTCAGTTAGTTTATAGAGACAAAGATACATTTTTTCTAAAAATGAGTAACCAGTTAGTGATGAGTAGTGAGTAATAAATGAGAAGTTGATGAATATTCAATGAGTGTTTCAGATTAGTGTTAGGCAGCAAGAGTTATTGCATCTATTCTGTAAATGAGTATGGACTACTGTTTCTTGATATCTTTTATTCATGAACTATGACATCTAGAAACAGTAGTCCATACTCATTTATGATGGAGATCTGAAACATATACATACGAAAAGGTAAGTAATGGAATCAAACAATAATCAGTCATATACATTCAGCTAATGCATTAGTACAGATTAGACGTGAATAAGATGGAGACAATGCTACTTACAACGTAAATAAGATGGAAACTGATAATGTATATTCCTCTATCCCCTCCTGAGTCATTGGTGAATCCCTGTGAACAATGGCTGGTAGAATACAAGTCCTTCGGAATGCAGTTAGTTTGTAATTGATTATGATGTTCTTTCCTCTATTCTGCTATTCAGTTACTTGATCAAAGCTAAGTAAGTTAGGCATAGGTACCATTAGCTAGGAATTTCTGTTGAAAATTTGAATTTTGTTTGTGAAATTAGGCCTAGAACTTGCATCAAAGTACCAGTAACAAACTTTATAGAAGAATTAGATTAACTGATTATTATTACACTATCTGGATATCACATTGTTTTTACCAGATAATCAAAAAGAATCCACCTAATGAAAAAAACATGTTACAACAACCATTGTCAGAATTGGGATTATTTTGGTAAAAATAAAATAGAAAATTTGAGAAAACTTCAACTTTCAAGATGACTTCATGAAGCAAGATTTGAAATTTATTGGAGTTGATGAAACAGTTAGGAGAAAAAGAAAGAGACGAAAAATTCAAAAAATATCAAGAAGAAAGAGATCAAAAATTAGAAGTTGTTGTAATATATGTTTTCATTGGGTGGCTTTTTTAATTATCTGGTCAAAATAATGCAAAATCTAGTCCACATAATGATAACAAATGAATTTATTTCTTCCATAATGTTTGCTACAGACTATGTTCACTTGGATACAAGCTACAAGTCTAAGTTCATATACATTGTTTCAACAAATTTCTCACTAATGGTACCTACACCTTAATTTACTTTGGTTTGGTTGATAAACAAACTTGTATTTCATTCAGTAACTGAGTAGCAAAATTAGATGTGATAACTCTCATTGTCTAACACTGAACTGAAACAATCATTGAATATTCACTAACTTTTCATTCATTACTCACTACTCATCATTAATTAGTTACTTGTATTTATAAACAATGTACCTTTATTTCTAGATACTGCCCAAAATTACTAGATTCTTGATGTCATGAAAATGAAGTGCTCCCTCTTGCAAACATCTAAATAAAAACATTAAAAATATAACTTACAGCAATAATAATAATACTTAGGTAAACAGTTTAACATTTAAAAAATAACAAAATTATCTTATTATGCCAAAAGCAAACAAAATTATTTTAAGATATTATAGCAGTTAAACATACCTATAATGTATTTAAACAAAAATTAAAAAGTATTTTCTCCTCTAATGATGATAAAGTGAAAATATAAAATTGTAACTTTTATTTTCTTATGATCAATAACATAAGCATTATATTGTAGGCCTACAAGCCAATGAGTACCAAAAATTTTCATTTTTGTACACATCAAGAAAGCATGTTGTTTAGCCATGCACATGAGTCAGTGTGCTTTGACACTAGTAGTATTCTCTCATTAGGTGCCAGGTGGCCAGCATAAAAAGGAACTCTTGGATTACCTTGATAAAGTGCCCACATTTGTCCAACAGTTACAGTTCACAGTAAAGAACCCTACTGTAGGGAAAGCAGCTACTTTTACTAAGGTAAAATCTGCTGAAAAATTAATAAGTTTTTGTGTATTCTATGGGTTTTGTCTGTTTAAATATTTTAAGAAATTTTTGATTAACTAATCCTGAGATGGTGAATTACTTTAAATTTCAGAAAGTTTTTGTTGTTACAAACTAAGTTTTTGGCTTAATATATTTTATTTAAACATTTTCTCATGGATAAACAATGTGTCTTATTAAAAAAACTTTGAAAAGCTTTAGTGAATCAGTATAAAGATACAGTGGACACTAATGTATAGTGTCTTACCAAATTTAAAGCTAAGTAGTTTTACATAGAGGTTAAGAACGTTTAGTTACAGTAACAAGAAATATATTTATGTCATTTAATGATTTTGTAAATATCCTGTACTCATTATTTCTATTTCTATGATAAAAAAGTAATATTTTAAGTATTTTGACATATTTGATTTCACTTTTTCTTCAGGATAAATTTAAAATAGCTTGTTAATTAAAAAACACATTGTAGAACAAAAAGGAAGACAAAAAGACTGGTTTTGATATTCAGTTAGTAAGTTCACCTTTAATAGATTTAATTAATCTAAAGTAAACATGGCTGACTTGCAGTGAATTTTTATGCATTTACAATAGGAACATAAAAATGATATATTATACTGTTTATAAAAATACTAACCTTTCAGTAGATTCAGTTCTGTTAAATAAGAAAATTCTGACGACCTGTAACAGACTGTTATCTTATAATAATTGAATAGCTCATATCCAGTAAATCCAAACATTTTAGTACATTAACAATGAATAACAGTTTTTATTAACTTCTGATGTGTTTAATGGGAATAAAACTTGTTTCCGGTAATGTAGTTTTAGTCAGTATTCTAAGCTGATTTACCGTAATTACATTTTTGTCTTATAGGTTGACAATGTCATACAGGAGACAAAGAATTTAATGAATATAATATCTAAAGTGGTAACTACTTGTCTTGTATGTGCAACAGAGGTAAGACTTTCTTTAAACATCAAATCATACTAAGCAATCTTAATCTGTAATCAGACTGCAGAAATTCTTACACGTTTACTGAACCCAGTCTTTTGTTTTACATTTTAATCATTAGTGTGTGTTTTGCTTCTTAAAGTAAAGTCTAGAGTTTTAAATAAATTGTTTAATTAACTAATAGCTTTATGTTTCTGGTAATAAAAAAAAGTCTAACAACCAAGAAGTACTAATATTCATTTACTTTTAACCAAAAGAGTGAAGAGAAGAACAGTTACACTGATAACATACTGCCAACTATGTGAAACGTTATTTTTTTGGCATACATTACCAGGTGCATTGAAATTACAAATATCCAAACAAGTTAAGTGTAGCATATTTTGTTTTGGATTGCTGCACTTTGCAAAATGTGGGTTTTATAATGGATTTTTCTCTTCTGAAGAAAGTACAAGATCTGAGCCTTTATTTGCTACTAATTTTGTTAGGTAAAAAACAGGCAGGATATTCATACAGACTAAATGTTAGCTCATTCAGTTTCATTTTTATCTTCTTTTGGTCATGTTTTACTAAAACACATTAGTTTTCCAAATTTATATAGTAATCAAAGTGCTTGATTTATATAATTTTAGTTCAACTTGGACTTCAGAGGCAGTAGCAGTACTAGCCGCTCAAGAAACACTTCACCTTATCGTAATGAACTCGATGAATATACTTTCACTGATGGACCCAACAGTATAGCAGGAATGCCCTCAAAGGAAGGGGGAACTAGTGTTTCTGATCCAAATATATGACAGTTTGGGTTGGGCCCACGAAGGGCCAGAGGTGACCCACGTCGCACTCGCGTGTCTTTTTTACTCTTTTAGGGTCAAAATTCAAACGAAATCAGTAAAATAAAATGCCAGGTTCTTAGTGACCAGTCTTCTAAGAGCTATCTCACTATATCCTATATATTATAATTTTGTGCTTATTCTAGTCTTGTATCATATTTAGTTATTTTCTTTGGTCACATACAATATCCAAATTAAATTTAAGGTACTATTTGAATTAAATTTAATAAGTTATTGTTTAATAAAGTTTTTTTAAATAATTAAAGTGTTTTCAGTTTACAGTTGAAAAGCTGTGTTTTAAAGTTAGTTAGTTAACCAAGATTATCCAAACACCCTGAACATTTTTATAACATACCAACTTATTTGTCAGTATTCCACTGTAATATAATACTTAGTTTGTATTTTTTAATAGAAATGTTTTTATTTAATTTTATGGAAAAGTTTATATTTAAATTTGTTGAAGGTATTTAAGTATGTATATACATATTTTAAACTTTACATGTTTTGTTTTTAATAAACATGCTAACAGTAATTTTGTTTTTACTTTGTGAGATGGTTCCATTTTGAAGTAATAATTATCAAGTTTGAACTAAAATCAAATATGGCTAAGATATAAATATAAACTGACTCACAACTGTGATCGCAACTTAATAACAGTGCAAGTTGATAAGTTTATAAAAATTATAAATGATTTCCACTTTTAACTGTTTAGTAAAACAACTCATTGTTTTGTTTATATAAAATAGATGTAGCAGTCATACACTGATCTGTCCTGGTTATATGAAATCCCTCTCTGATTTAGATTTTGTTTTCAGAAATCTTTCTTTAAATAAATATTACTCATTCCTGGTAAGTTGATGTCAAATTGGTATTTTTTAAATTGTAAAAAATTGTAAATTAACCAGTCCAAATCAATGTTGATTAATGAATTAGGTTCGAGTATGTTCATTGAAAATAGCTATACTATAAATTTGAAATTAACATAATCATAACACCTCTTTTTTTTTAGTACATTCAAGTTGTCTATTTAGTAGGTCTTAAAGTGAAAGTCTATTACACAGAATGTGAGTTATTAGATCTAGTAATAAATTATCCTATATTATATCTATAATAAAATTTCTAAAATGATTATATAGAAAAGATATATACTTGTATTTAAAAAAAAACACAATTTGTTAATGTCTGTGTTCTTAACCATCAAGAAATACATTTTTATCATATTATTTCACAAGAATTCTTTGTATGGACAATGTTATTTTACCTGCAAAATTTTATTATCCTCCTTTTATTATTATTGTTGTGTTTTTACTGGAGGATACTACTATTGTGAGATACCTCTTGTAATGTGAATTATTAGACTGGCGAGGATAAAGGAAAGTAAATCTTATCCATTCACTGAGAACTCTCATTTTATTTGGCTGTTGCTCAGACACTGCACCTGGGATCATTGTATCTCTGTTCAAGTAAAAGAGTATAGGTAAACTAACATAGTAAAACACAAAGTTTTTCTTTGAAATCAGAAGTAAACAGTCGGAATTTTTACTTATTTAATGTGTACAAAAAAAACAAATACAATTACTGTGCTCTGTTTTTTTTTCTTCCAAATGTTTGGTTTGTGTGAGTAACTTCTTGCACAAGAAAAATTCATTTTTTTCCTCTAGAAATTATGCAAGTATTAATGCCCATTTCCTTAGAATTATTCTGTAAATTTTAACACTATCATTAACTTTTAAAAAAATTATACTTCATCACCCTGGAAATTTTAACAGTATCATTAATTAACAGAATAAAAATATTTCCAATTTAAATGCCCTACAGCTGTAGTCATCTTATGACTTACAATTTAATTTTATTTGCACTGTAAAATTAAATGGGGACTCTTCAAGTAACAATAAAAAAATAATTAAAATTATAGTATCATGTGAATCATAACATTTGATATGTTTTCTGTTGTAACTTAATTGTTCTCCAATCAAATTCAAGTAGTTCAAATGTCGGCTTTAAAGAATAAATAAACCAATCGATAATATACAAATATCATTTATATTTACTAGATATACTTCCGCAGGGTCCCCAAAAGTGTTCTGTTTCAAGAGTAAATAACAATTATTTTTATTTCTTGCTTCTGAAGTTCATATGTCATGCTCTGTTGTAACCTAAAGAGTGCTTAATTCTTCTCATGATTCATGGCATTCGCACGTTTTACTGACAGTACAAACTGCAACGTTAAACGTCCCTTATGTGACATCATTTTAGTGTCTACTGTCCGACTGACAGACAACATACTACTGTATTGTGGTAAGAATGATTTTCGGGGAAACTAGATGCCACAGAAGTCGCTGCAGTTAACTTAACCCCCCAAAAGCCCTTTATTTATATCAGAATTTTATCAGCACCCCAGTAGAAGAATAACATTTCACTGTCATATTTTCATTATTAGATTACGAAACAGGAGTTCTAATGGATCATACTTAAATCAGAAAGGTTATGGAATGCTGTTATAGATAGATTATAAAAAAATTAGTGTACTATTTTAGAACACATACTTTTAAAACAACTCGTGTTTTTAAGAGAATCTTTTACACAAACTACTGCTTTACTATTGGCACGAAGGAAACATTTTTTCAATTGCACATTTTTATAGAAACTATTTCTGAGAGTGAGACAACAAAGTATTCTATGATCATTTTTAGTTTATTATTAGATTAGTCAACTGTGAATTCGCATTTTTTAAACATAATTTACATTGATAGCCATATTGAAGCTTTAATCATTTAGAAACGTATCTAATGTATCATTAGAAAAAAGAAACAAGTAAAAACTTGTTTATATTTATAGTATTTTTTAATTTTTAAAGGATGAAATGTGTAATGATTTATACTTTTCTTTAAGTGAAATGCTGAATAATAGTCTATTTGTATTGTGCCCACCACAGGTATCGAATCCTTTTTTTTTTCTGTTATAAAACATTAAACTTATCGCTATGCAACTGGAATAACTCGTAGGTTAGAATAAGTGTAGGCGCTTAAGCTATTGCTAATTAACAAAGTAATATTTTACTGCCAGTATTGTTCATCAAGTGGCCCGGCATGGCCAGGTCGTAATCTGAGGGTCGCGGGTTCGAATCCCCGTCACACCAAACATGCCAACTTCCGCCTTTGCCTGATCCCAACTCCAGGATGAGAAAGGGAGAGGGTTGGACGCGGGACTAGCAACTCCACCCCGTAAAAACCAACCTGCTACAAGTAACTGCAACAACACCTTCCGTTGGCGAGATGTTGTTGCGGCCCAATGCTTCACTGGGAGTTTACAGGAATAAAAAAAAAATTGTTCATCAAAACGTATTACCAGAACCCGTACTTTCTGCCCCCAAATTAAACGTACACTTTGAAGTATAAGCTAATGATAAAAGTACTAGTAAAAGGAACTCCATAGAACCATTCGTTTCTAATCGAAGATGCGTGCATTAAGAATAGAACCATTCTTAAGCAAATATACCAATCAAATAAACAATTAACTTCTGAATGAAATTCACTTGAGCGTAAGCATTTGTACGTTTGTTTCGGCCTTTCTAAGGTTTAAACCGCGATTTATTGATTTTGTTAATTTCTGCTTTAAGTACGTATATATGATAACACGTATTCACTCATAATCATGTTATTTTTGGATCCCAGTTGCAGTTGAAAAAATTGTGTTATTATAATGTAAAAGAGAATTTGAATTTTGACCCGAAGAGTAACTTTTCTTATGTACAAAATAGGTGGTGCGATGTACCTTTATTTTTGTAATCATGTATACGTTACCGGTATTGTTAAAGTAGCACAAATGTCGCACTTCTTCGTTATTGTAAACTTAAGATTTGTCCGCTAGGTAACGCTAAATGTGCTTTATATGATGGCGTTGTAAATTATTTATTTTTAAATAATAAGTTTAACTGAAAAGTATTACTTAAGGAATAAATATACATCATCTAAAAACAACTAAAAATAATACTTTGAGTGTAATTAACGGCGTAATTTACAATGTGAGTAACGTTAATTAGTTATGCTTAGCGAATTAGGCTAAATTTTATTAGAATTTATGGTTGTATTGCATAGTCAAAAAGCATATAATATATCTATCATGAGAATTCAATATCTTGAGATAACTGTTGATTAAATGTTTCTAGTGATGTGAGCTAGTCTTCAAAACAGTACTACAAAATCAAAAACGTTATAACTTATAGAAATAATACCCGAAAATGTTACATTTTGTATTATGGCGGAACTTGCATACGCATGGAAAGCCACAGTGATTTAATGATATTGTTTCCAGACATCATTTCATAAATTTGTTTATTTTCAACCATGTTAACTGCAGCATTAGAGGATTTTGCTATTTTTTCCTTCATAAATAACATTCTTGAATTCGAGTTACAGTATTTACATATTGTTTAATAGTTCATGGTTTTTAGAGTTACTAATTACTGCCCACTTAAAAGACAGGGAGAAGGGTGAAGAAAGAGAATAGCGTTAATCAACGAACAAAGTTTATAAATTTTGTACTCAGGGAAAATAAAATAAAGGTTATCGATTTGAGCTCAAATTTCTCTTAGTTTGCATTCTATGACACAACAGCATTCAGGGGTTAAAGTGAGGCAGTAAACGGTAAGAAAAACAAAGGAGTATGAAATATCGCCAAAAAAAAATATGCTGTTACAAAACACCCTACCTGTACCTCTTAGGTTTCGCACGAAAATACATATGGTCTTAATGTCTGTGTAATTATAGCGCGAGTATGTCTCACCTCAGGTCACTACTGCCTTTATGTTCAATAAACACCAACCTGCCCCCAAACACGTGCACACCGGCTTCTTCTCCAAAACACTTTAAACATTGTATCTGTGCTCTAACATTTTCAACCGTAATACAAAGATAAAAATCTTCAAGTTTTTTAATTATGCAGACGTTCAAAAACGAGGGGGACACATTCCCCCGATAATTAAATTTGAGGTCCGAATATTATCGGGCTCTCCCAATATTTTGCTTACAGGAATTTTATAGTTGGTCTTTTCCTATGCAGTTGGCATGTAAATAATTTCGAAAAACGTACTACATCAGATGTGTATGACGAAGCATGCATGTGAAAATGCGATTTTGTAGAACACAGCAAACAATTAATTTATTATTTGTATGTTTCTGTATGCACAATACAGTACGTTTTATGTACCACAAATCTATATATATATTCTTTTACGTAATTAATAGTAGGATACATTTTATTTTAGGTGTAAGAGACTGCTAAGTGTATAAACCAATCTAGCTTTCGTCCTATTTTTGTTGTCTAAAACTGATACCTATATCTAAATCTTGTGAGATTTATCATAAGTCCAGTAGAAGCTAAATATTTTATCAGTTTCGTAAAAACATATTCAAAAATCTTTGTTATAACTCTTTTGTCATTAAGTTTATTTTATGA